ATTTTCACCTCCTACTATATGTGACAGCAATTTTTCAGGTTTGGCTTGGTTTACTAGTTTTGAGACTGATTTCGTGGGCTTTTTGGTTTGATTTCAGATTCGGGATGTCACAATTCAACCCCCCCTAAAAGAAATTCATTTCCAACTTCTGTTATCCTATGCCACCATAATTACATCATAACACCCTAACATCATATCCACCAGATCTCCGGGCAGCTCCACGCCTTCCTAGACTGTTTCTCCTCTGGTGGTTTCAACTCTTCTAGCCTCCCGGCAATATTCCAACCAAACTCTAACACTTTACCAATTCAGGTATAATAAAACTATTGTAGCACTCGAATCGAGATTTTGTAAGTTGTCCCCTGATAGTTGTAAAGTTCTTTTCCAACAGCTTCCTCCAATTGTTTGCCACGATTGCATTTGCCCCTCAACTGAATATTTCCATACCCAAGTTTTTCATCATCGTGAGCACTTGCCAGTGCACATGTGTCTAGTCCTGTCCCCGTATACGCCCCTTCTCGCACCCATGCTCACACCTTTTCTCATGTTCATGTTCATGCTCCTCCTCGTGCTCACGCTCCTGATCTAGCATCCTTGGTGGTGGTGGAGACATATCCTTACACGGCTCAGCAACTCATGGAGCTTGCTGCTGAGATGCAGCCACTCCTGGGATGGAGATTTGTTGCAACAATGGGCCAAAGAAATCTCGAAGACCTTGTACCACAGCTGCGCTTACTGCATCAGCATCCATCGCCTAGAGAGCACATGTTGGCGCTTGAACCTGCTCCTGACATGCACCGGCCACACTCCCAGTTAACTCAGTCGGAGCTCCACTAAAACAATCCTGGCACTCCTTCGGTTTTCCCTCTTAGGTGGCATTCTGCATCGACAAACATCAAATCAGTTCCCATGCTCTTTAAAATAACACAAAAACTCCCTAAAACAAGACAAAGCTCAAGCTATCGTTGTGGTGTCTCCATTTTTTTTTTGTTAAATTAATTTCAAACATCTTAAAACAACATATTAAAAAAATTTGACCAAAAATCGGCTCTCTGGGTCAGAACTGAAGTAGCATCTTCCGTTCTAGTACCAAAACTGTAACACTTATCTATTCTCGCTTAACTAGCCGAGATGAATGCCACATGTACCATAACATAAATAACAACCTCAACTCCTCATCATAAATCATAAATTTTATTAAATTATTAAATGTGTTTTCAGATTCTTAACGTCATAAATCTTTCCCAAATAAATGCGTAAAGATCTTTTAAATAAATTAATAATATATTAAATAATAATTAAAATAAAGTTTTAAAATTTCCGTAAAACTTGGAAACGCAACACTTAGACCATCTCCATCGGCAAAAATATATACCATCGTGTCTTACTATTATAATATAAATATAAGTTATTTATTTAATTAATATTTAAAATATAAAAGGAAGAAGCAAATAAGAGATAGACAAATGTATACAAACCTTTCAGAATTGTGTCTGAAACAAGATGTTTAAGCAACATATGTAATTTCTCTTTCTCTCTTTTCTATTTTTTTAATTTTTTTATTCCTTAGATACTTGTTAAAAACCCTCCGATGGACATGCTCTTAAAGGTGTCAAACGGGCTAACCCGCTCCAAATGACCTGCACCACTGCGGTCATTCTTGTTCTCTGAACTGCAGCGAGTTGATCTGCACAGGTCGCGGTTCACTCCTACTATGTCCATACCCGTCCCGCCAAATAATGCGGGCTATGCAGACTAACCCATGGGTCATTAGAACATAAAGTTTTTTATAAAATGTTGCAGGTTTTGAGATTTGGTTTTTCGCTTCTTCTTATGAACACTTTGATTAGCCACTGTGTAAGAGAAGCTCAGATTAAAAATCAATATTTTGTAGTAAAACTAATAAAACAGACGTACAAAAAAATAGAAATCATCTTGTTCCAAAAAAAAATTGAAATCATCTTCTTCTTCTACGTGATGATATACAGATCAAAATGTATTTATAATTTCTTAAGCTCTCTTCTTTCATTTGGTTTTACAGAGCTGAAGAAGAGAATACAAAGCTTTTTGGATGACGGAGATGAGGATGCATTGCCCGATTTATTTAAAGCAATGGTGATAAGGAAGTTATCGGGGAAACACGATGATAGTGATGACGAAGTGATGGAGGAGGTGCGTAAGTACCCAGTTAACGATGCTCATAAGGTCAATGACACTGAGAGATGGAGAGTAATGGTTTAAAGATGGTGATTCGTCTGATTCTGATAAAAAAAATTTAATGACGATTGTTATTATAATTGTTTGGTTTGGTTTGGTTGGTATAAAACATACAGTTTACTAAAATTAAGAAATTAATAGACTATTACATTAGTTTGTAGAAGTATGGAATTATAATTAAGATATGATGGCTCTGTTTTGTACAAAACTCTGAACCCGCGGTGTGAACCTGTTGATCCGCGAACCCACGATGGTTAAACCCGCCAAACCTAAAAACCCCGACGAGCAAGACCGCGAGAACCCAACCAACCACTCGCCTATTACTGCCACTGCCGGAACAAAACGTAACCACTCAGCTTGTTCCTGCCACTGCCAAAACAAAACAATAACATGTGCCCATTCCCGCCACCGCCGAAATAGGCAACCATCTGTTCCCGCCAACGCCAGAACAAGTAACCATCTGTTTCTGCCACCTTCAGAACAAGACGATATCACCCGCCCATTCCCACTACCGCTGGAACAAGCAACCATCCTATTCCGTCACCAAAGGAACAAGACGATATCCCCACCCATTTTCGCCAATGCTAGAATAAGCCAATGTCTGATCCCACCACTGCTGGAAAAAGAAAAAATACCACATCCCAATGAAATTGAGTCTGTTTGACTCATCCTGTCAGACAGAATGCCCAGAGTTGTTTAATGCCATAACCCAACATCCAACAACTTAGCTCAACCCGATAAGTTGTACTAATTTTCCAAATATGAGTTCTCATTCATGTATTATTCACCATACTTCATCATTTATAATTTATTTACCGGTAATATAAAATATACACAATTACTAGCCAGTAGAAAATGTGTATGATTAAGATCAATAAGTCAATACATCCAATCAAGTAATGGAATTCGCGTAACTATGGAGCCAACTATCTTGTATGAAAACAATGATGCATGTGTTGTTCAAACGAAGGTTTAGATATTATTTAGATAAGAATAATAAAGATTAAATATCTAAATAATATAAAGATCAAACAGAGCCAATCATTTTATTTTAATATCAGTTAAATATTTAGTTTTTATATACAAAATGTCCCTATTTCTAATTTTTTTTTAACACTGATTTACTAATCTACTGCAAATTATGAGAATTGTTACATCGACGATTCTACAACGGTCAATTCTACTGTGTTATGAAGATCTATGACTAATGGTTCTACCTGAATCCTGCATCACGCTTACCATTATCATACAAGTCTACGCCTGACGATTCTGCTTCCACCACGCTGAAGATCTCTTGTATGCTTGCTTCCATTAATTTGCAACATTCTTCATTAATCTGCATAATTAAGAATATATTGTGCACTCTAGGATTTAAAACCTGATGTAGAAGCACCTTTATTAAACTACTGGGATAAGGGGGCTTCCACTTTCTAAAAAAATAGAAATAACGATTTTACATTTCAAAATGTTCAATTTACGCGTGTCCATTTTCGTTCGTGCAAGCCCATGAAATATATTTTATATTAGATATGTATTAATTTTGTGAACATTCAACATTTGAAATTGGATTAAAGAAGTTATCTATTATATTAAATGAGAATCCCATTTGAATAAATAACCTTCTCCTACAATGTTATTTACCTCAAATGCCATTGGTCTTTCATTATATATTCATTGGTCCTTCATTATATATTCATATTCATTAATTCACCTTTTATAACATCCTCAACTTTATTCGAGACATACATATTTATTCTTTTTACAGATTGTATAATCAAATATATAGCAAGCCAGCTTATAATTACATAACCTTACACAAACATACCATAGGTATCCTATTAATATTTATATAACGATTAAATTGTATATATTCTTCTTGCAGGTTGTATAATCAAAATATTAAAATCGGACAAAGAGAAAATAAATTTTTTTAATAACCATACATACAACAGGTGTCCTATTTATATAACTCAAAACCTTGAAAATATTATAACCTGCGAATGTCAAAATTATACATTATAATAAGATACAATTCATTTGATATATACTGATTGTTCTCCCCATTATTATCGCCATATTCAAATAAACAAAATCTTCAAACCTGTACTCAACTTCTCAATATCTTCATTCTCAAACAGACCTTATCATTTACGAAAACATTAATGTCTATGAATATACTGATTGTTTTCCCGATTATTATCGTCATATTCAAGTAAACAAAATCTTCATATCTATACTATACTTCTCAATATCTTCATTCAAAATCAGGGTGTTATATTCATATCTTCCAAATACAGTATCATAATCTTATGAATATATTGGAAACAACATATTCATTCCAACGGAAATATTATGTATATCAAAACAAGACTTTTAATTCACATTTTAGCTACTATATCTACCTTCAGTTACAGAATATTAATATTATCAGAATATTTACGGCATCTACATGTCTTTTATTCTAAGATATCCCTAAAATTAATCAAAACTATATATATATCGACTTATCATTATTCCAAATATCATATTCTCAGACTTCTCTGCTCTAATATCACAAAGATAACTTCTAAAGGTTGCACATACATTAAGGATGTCAAACCCTTCAAATCGAGTTTGCGTGTTGAGGTCAAAGTTCTGCATTCCTGAAAGCAATATACTCCCAAGGCGGAGAGTCCCTTGAGCAGATACTAGCAGATGTAACTGTGAGTAATTATTGAAATTAATTTCACAATATTTACTCTATTACAGAAAAATATATACTTACATGATTTCATTTTTGATAGGGTGTCAAAATCTATGCGTCCTGTAAAAAGACCTTTGTACATAAAGTTGAAAAGCAGCTTCGTGTTAGTGCATGAAAGTACATCAAGAACTTCTCTTTAATTACTGCCACGGTCCTGTACAGGCCTATCAATCATCTTTACAAGATGATTTTCACATCCTTCATTTCTGTCACAAGATCTGAAAAAACCTCTGATGATCTATTCATAACATTGACAAGTTTTGAACAGATTCTTCATCCTGCACTCAACCGACATTTCTTGATAGGTAAAATATAATGATAAATTTTATGGATTATAAATATGATTTTTCTATTTCATAATTAAAATAACTTTTATTTGGTTGTGCAGATGTTTTTGGACAAATTATGGACATGGGTGAAATAAAGACAGTTCTGGTAAATGGTAAAGACAAGAAGAAAGTTCAATTTCATCTTCGTGATGAGAAGTAAATTTGGTTATATAGGAAATAGTACATTTGTATATATATATATATATATATATCACATATTCATAAGATTTATTCAAGTTGTTTATGTGGATCATAGTGACAAACGATTGGCCTGTTGTCTGTGGGGAAGATTTGCTAAATAGATTCGTTCTGCTTGCGATGAAGGTTATTCAATTCTTGTTTGTTTAATAAGGTTTGCTAAAATCAATATTTACAAAGGTGAGTTATATTGTATTTTATATGCACAACAAATATGTTATGTGTCGGAGGATAAAATGATTTAAAGTCGTACCTATTTTTTCTCATTTTCACAGGGGAATTGCAGGTCACCATTTCTTTTGAGTCTTCAAAAATATTGATTAATGCTCCCTTACCTGAAGTCACTGCATTCAAGAATAGGTAAGATCTCTTTTTACCATATTTATTCATTGCTAACTTTATTAAATCATAAAATAGATCTTGATGTTAAGATTTTTAAGCTTTTATTCAATCTTCAAACACATATGTCATTGTAGTACTTGAGGTGTCAATCCAATCCAAAGGCTAAGGAACATATGAGATCCAGAAGACTTGCTAAGCTAGGCCTAATCAAAAGAAAGGGAGTCTGATCTAACAACCTAAAACAAGAAATGCAAACTAGAAAACAGAGATTCAAGACTAATGAATAACAAGGTGAATCTAAAAACATGATCAAGGTGAAAGAAACAATCAATGCATTAATCTCTAGGCAAGGACTACTGATATAGACTGGCCTAATCCCTCAGCACTAATCCCTTATCTAATCACATATTCAAGATAAATCCCTTTACTCAAACACATGTTCATCAAGCATGAAGGTCAAAATCCATAGAGCCAAAAAGCATGCTAGACATCTAATTTCCTATGATAGGCTTACTAATCTCTTGTACAATAGAACTAACATTAACTCACACTATCATGCATAATCAATGCCTAAAGAACAATTTCCCACCAATGTGGTGTTAAGTACTTAAGCACAAGCTATGCAAGACATGACATCAACCATAACTTCTTTCAAGCATTTCAGCAAACACCTTAAGTGCAATACTAGAAAGCCTAAGATCTACTTATCCGAAAAAGAGGTACTAAGCATGAAGAACAGTCACACAAGAAGAGATAATCAAAGATCCAACATTCTAACACCTTAAACAATCATTATAAACACTTTTATTCTTCAAAAACCAAGAACTTCAAAAACTCAAAGAGGCAAATTCGAAATTACTAAAGCAGAATAAGAAAGAAAGACTAAGAGATTAAAGACTAAAAGAAGAAACCTTAAAATAAAAGTATATACAATGATCCAATCTCATCCCACAAAGGGATTTGTTCTTATTCTTTGAAAACCAAAGCAAAGCTTTAGTGAAGAGAAGAGATAAAAGAAAATATATATATGTTTAGCTATATATAGGAAACATCCCCAAAATAGCCTTAGGAAGCAAATATAAAAAACGTTAAAGATGGTCAAAGGTGGTTTTCGGACCAAAACCTATCGAGCAGAAGGAAGGAGGTGATGCTCAATGTAGGTGATCGATAGGGTGATCGATAGGAACTTCTGGTTGCGGACAGTGATGCTTGAACCGCTGTATCATTTGAAATACTGATCGGATTGACCTGATGCCACCTCCGTTGGAAATCTTATTCGATCCTATACAACTTCTCTGAAGGACGTGGAGGCTGAATCGCAACGAAAGACCTTCCTTTTGACCCATACATTTCATATCAATCTGCATATCAGACAGATTTCTCTCAGCTTAGGTCGATACAAGACTTTGGTACGGCCTAAAACCCGTTATCTTGGCTATTATACTTGGTTCTTCATGTCCTCATCATTCACCATTCTCCAAATGTTTTCCTTGCTCCATATACACCTGAAAAAGACTCCAAACAATGCAAATGTCTAACCTAAAACCTATTATGTCTAATATGAATGCAAATGTGATAAAATATGATGAATAAATGCATGAAAGAGACCAAAAACTAAATTCAAGCTAAAACATAGTAAATTATGAGGATATCAACACCTCCACAATTAGATCTTGCTTGCCCTCAAGCAAGTATGGACATGGTGGAAGAGAAGTTTGAAAGTATGAGCTATTTGGTTTGAAAGATGCCAATAATAAAAATCAAGTCATTATCCATGTTAATGGTTCTAAGATGCAAATGATGTTGTTCTCACTGAAAGTCTAGCCACACTCATCAGAAGCATATACATGAAAACTCAAGTCTATCTTACACTAGCAATCACATTATCCAACCTCTTTAATATTCAATTAACTCATCAACCAAGTGGATCATGCACATGCAAATCTTGTGTTTTCATTTGGCTAAGGATAAGGCTTATGAGGCAAACATGACCTCAAACAATTTCGAACTGGATATATTTAAGTGCAAGGGTTCTCTCAAGAAAATGGAATGAACTTTGGTAAAATGCTAAGGGTAAAGAACAACTTATGCATACAAAAGTAAACTCCCATCTACCCCAAAACCCATAAGTGATCTAAACTCCTTTGATTCTTCCCCAAAACATAATCCTATTCTACCCTCTTTCTTGAAGCTTTTTGCTTCTTTTGATCCCATTCTTCATTCTCCTTTGGAACTTCTTTGACAGTGCATCTTCTTCTTTGATTCTTCTTGGTGGTTTGACCATTTCTTCTTTGCTTTTGCTCTTCTTTACTTTGCTGGTGTTCTCTTTGCTAGCTTTGGACACCTTCTTCATTTGCATAGAGCTTTTAATGATTAGCCAAACTTTCCAAAGTTACTTATGTGCACTCCTTTTCCTTTGCTTTCTCTTTTCCTTCTTCACTTGACAACCCAAAATTTAAATCCCAAAACCATCCCTTATTAACCAAAACATCCTAGCCTATCTAGCTCATGAGGGTGAGCTAGTTCTACAATGGAAGGGTCCCTTTGTAGTTCTAACCCAACACTTTTTACTAAGCTCATTCCTTAAAGAAAAGGCCTCATGATCACTCACAAACAATTTTTGGCTTGAAAGAAGGTTTGGTTAATGGCAGGGAAATCTACTTGGACTAGGAAGAGGGGACAAAGAAGGGAAAAAAAAGCCCAAGTATGTGTATGGCATCCATGAAAACACTTTCAATGTATAAGACATGATAATTCAGTATTCAAATTATGGTTCTAGTAAATAGAGACTGAATTCAGATCATGCAAGCTTCATCAAGAAAAGAGTATCAAGAAAATAATTCGAAGTGTGGTTCAAACCTCAATTCAAACTAGACCATAACATCAAAGAACTAACAACTTAGGCAATGAAGTGATATCAAAAATTAACATCTCTCAAAGGCAAACATCATGCTCAGAATTTCGAATTGATGAAAACATAATGAAAATGCAACTAGATGCAATCCTAAAATGCAAGATGCAACTAGATGATCACTCAAAAAAAATTTAAAAATTTAGAAAAGTTTTCAAAACTTTCACATTTTTGCAAGTATGAGAGATATGAAAGAGATAAATGCCAAAATTTGAAAGACAATTGTTAGTATCACACCCTCCCCCACACTTAAATTACACAGTCACTGTATAATCTACTGTGTAATGAAAGTGCAAGAAGAGCCAATATCCAACAAACAATTCAAAAAAATAAGAGAAGAAGAGAAAAAGAAAAATGCAAAAGTTTTGGAGTATACCTCAAGGTCTTGTAATGGAGGAGGAGTGAAAATGTTTTAAAGAATGGCTTGGAATAGTGAACAGTGAAGAAGAAACCCTTTCATCCCTTGAAACCAGAAGTGTGCACCATATTGAACAAGATCAAGGAGTCATATCGACTAAAACATCTGATATCCAGCTTGATGTAACTTTTGCGGTTCTTGCAGCCCCTTTGCCAAAATCATAGTAATGCTTGATCCACTGCACCATATGATACGAAACCAGCTGAATACGAAACCTAACTCAATTTTATATCACTCTCATGAAGACATTACAGGCTGAATCGAGACGCAAACCCTTCGTCCAGGCTGATCTTCAAGTCGGTCAAGATGATCGGTCGAAAGACCAGATGGATATGTTCTCACTTTGTTCGCCCTAACTCTTTAGCCACCGATGCGAATGGCTCAGAACCAACACCACACGAAATCTAACTCACGGGGCTACAATGTTGATGAAGAACGCCGAGGCCAAATCAGAAAGGAAACACCTAATCTGAGCTGATCTTTAGTCCTTATGGTCCTTCGGGTGATTCCTTTCGGTCACTCTTTGACCGGTAGACTGATCGATAGGGTCCCTATCGGTCTGGAAGTGACCGATAGGGTGACCGAAATGCATCCGTTGCATTCCTGTCGGACACCTCTTGACAGATAGGGTGACCGATATACATCCGCTACATTCTCATCGGTCACTCCTTGACCGATGGTCTGATCGATAGGGGTTGAGCAGTTTCACCAAACCTTCTGTAACTTTCTAACCGCTGATGGGAATGACCTGAACCCAACTCCAAACGTAAGCTAACTCACGGGGCTACAACATTGATGAAGACTGTTGAAACTGAATCGGATTGTACATGCCTTTCCGAGCCGGTTTTGTCAGGTGAAGTTTCTGGCCGCTTCTACAAGGTGCACCTTCTTCTTGGTTCTTGGTGTAATCATTATTGAGAGAGTAGATTGGTGCATAGACCCGAAATAAGACTGAGCAGAAATGTCTGGTTTGTACTCAGTATGTTGCCTACTAATTTTTCATGGCCATAATCAGTGCACTAGCTCAATGAATAAGCTGAAACACTAAACAAAAGAAATCAAAAGCAAAATGAGCATATATATACAAGGGATAAACATGGAACTACCTTCCAAGTGTGCCTGTTTATAGTCACTAAGCTTGACTCTTAGCAAGTGAAACTCAAAGATGAGAGTGCAATGGAACTAATGTTCCTGCTCCAATCATCAAAAAACATAAAGAAAATAGCCTAGTCTAAGCAATTAATCAAACTTAAATGCCTTAGACACAATGAACTGGCAACAGCGCCAATTGATGTTTAGGTTTTTAATCCTTAGATCAATCCTCAAACACACATGTCATTGCAGTACTTGAGGTGTCAATCCACTTGGGAAGTTAATGACAGTTGAGATATAGAGAACTATGCTAAGCTAAGCTAATAGGGAAAGGGTTTTGATTCTAGCAACCTAATGACAAACAAGAAAGCAAAAGAAAGCAATTAAAGAGAAGTAATGGCAAAGAGGAAACAGAGCAAAAACAAAGTAAAAGCTAGACTTCAAAGATTAAAAGATGGTTCAAGATCAAGGCAATGGTGATAGGGTGATTCATGTTCATGTATAGGGTGATCAAAATAAGCAATTCTAAACACTCAACCTTAGGTAAAGAACACTAATAAAGACTAATCCAATCTCTTGGCATTAATCCCTTTGC